TAGAGAGTTCTGCTCTACGCCACCTGGAGTCCATTTCGATCGATTTACTGACATTTAATTTTAAATGATATCATAAAGATAACCAAAATATTAAGTAAATAAAGGATTATTGATTTTATATCTAAATAAAATTACTGGTTTCAAAAATGCTAAAAAAAATGTCATAACTCTCTGAACTTGTTTACATCTTCCATCAAACACTAGGTTTCCGAGGAAACAGCTGCTCCTGAGTGAGAATGATATACGATAAAGGGCCAACTACACTGATTTTGAATTTCCTTCTGTAACGGAACGTCTTTTCATTTGTTCCTTGTTTCATTGCAAATCCGTTTGTTAAGTCACCTCTTTACACCTGTTCATCTTTTGAATTTCCTTCTGTAACCGAAAATCTTTTCATCTGCCCTTTATTTTATAGGAAACCCGTTTCGTTAAGGGACTTCTTTACATATGTTATCATTTTATGTCGTACTGATTTTTCATTTGCACAGCCCTGCTAGAATCTAGCCCTTCTCGATTTGGACCCTTCTGCTAGCCCTTCTCGATTTGGACCATGTTTTTATATTTGAACAGTTGTTCGATGATCAGTACCCTGGTGGGCAATCAGTATCCCTGGATGCCCCCTGTGGGGGCGGTTTAAGGTACAGCTTATCTATACAGGTACAGCTTATCCCTTACTGAAACTGATGCAATAGCCATACAACCTAAACCACCACCCAAACACCTTAGAAGAATTCTGTTCCAGAACTTAATTACAACCAGGTAATTTCAACTACCATAGCCAGTCTACACACAGGACAGTTTAACCGGTTAACGCCCAGCGTCATATATTTAGGACAGTTCCTTTTTTCAAAGACATTCAATGTGGTGGGAAACTTTTTTCAGTATTTTTATTTATCTGGGTGAATTTTCAGATACCATGATGATTTAGTTATTTCTGATTAGATCTAGAATTATAAGGAGCAAGTACTTTTTGATCTATCAAAGACTTTTTGATTGCTCTTACAGTAGAAAAACCAATTAATTTCGATAATATATTATACCACTTTTTCCATAAAACCTTTTTTTGTATCATTTCAATTTTTAATTTCGGGACAATACGGGTTAAAGAAATGAAAATATTCTCTGATAGACTAAGAAGTTACAATACTTGTTCTTTCTGTCGTGAAGTCGAACTTTCTCCAGACCATATTTTAAATTGTCCTTCTACGCTAGCTAGACAACATAGACCCAAACCCCATCAACTGCTCTGTTCGCCAAAGGTCTTTGTTTGCTTGTTTAGCTATTATTGACGCCTTCAGTGCTATTTAATTCCTCTGCACTACTTGGACGAGACAACAATAATCTCTATTAATAATTTAAAATTTCAGAAAAAAAATTGAGGGTTAGAGTAAACTATGAAATTTCAAATGCTGAAGAATAATAAAATGCAAACAAATAATGAGTGTTAACTGCTGTCATGGAGAAACATAGCGTTGTCCTAATTATAAATTAATCATCACCATTGACATTTCTCCGGCGCGAAATTGTTATCAATGATTGTTTTAAAACTGTTTAAAAATCTCTGTAATCATGAACCTTTTACTCTTTTCGAAAATAAAAAAGAATGAAATATTATTTTTACCAGTTTTTGTTGCTCTTTTTAACATGTATATAAATAATCATTTGAACTTCAGTGGAAAATGAATTGTAAGCTTTTAAAAGTATCAAGACAAGCTTACGCTGTCATTCAAGCTCGAAGACAGTGAAAGCGAAAATTTAAAGGGAGTAAAATATCTGCTGAATTGTACAGTCAGGGAAGGAGGAAACGCCTACCTTCATTCAAATCCTCATTCAGTGTGGTAACGATAATGCCTAAGTAAAACAGTACGCGTCACAAACAGAACTTAATTTTTCTAAAATTTAACGAAATCTACGTACATTAACTGTTTTTTTTTAATTAAGGCGATTTGAAGAAAATTCTAGATATTGTTGCGCCTTTCGGTAAGAATGATTACCACTTGCTGTTCCCAATTCGAATTAGAGTATTGAGAAGTAAAAAGTAGGCGTTACTATCAATAATACCTTTTCCTGAAGTGAACTATCCAGAGTTATGGCTTTAGTTCATAATTCATGGAGCTATCCAGAGTTATAATCTTAATCATTCACAGTTTAAATAAAATGAGAATAACGATACCCAACATTATAAATGATATTATGTATGTTGAGTATTTATAAACACACACACGCATATATATATANAATTTTCAGCTAGTTTACCGTTTGTATAGACTTCTGTATCCCAACAAGAACATTTTTTCAAACAGTTGTCATCACAGGTACAAGGTAAAGGCACACTCTCAAATTCTTCTGTACAGGAATCACTTGTTAATACACAAGAAGAAGTGTACTATAAAAAAAAAATTTATTTTATATATATATATATATATTGTATATATATATATTTACTGGCGGGCACTTGGGGATTGTCCTATTGGCCACAGGAATGCAAGAACTGCTACTCTCTTCTCGTTACCCAGTGGGCACCTGTGGCGAAGCCACGGCGGTGGAGCAGCGTCGCCCACGTCACACGACCACAAACCTGTTTATAGGGCGGGTCACATTCACACAAAGGAGAAAGGACATTGAACACAGAGAGAGAAAGAAACATCCATGCCCTGAGCAGGATTCGAACCCGCGGCAAATTACTCCGCAGTCAGACACGCTAACCACTCGGCCACCTGGTCGGCGTATTTATATCTATATATATGTATGTATATTTTTTTGTTTTCGTTTTCAGGTCTAAATTATGATCTGTGGATATGAATGGGTTCGCCCTATAAAACGGGAGTGGCAGAAGTCGAATTCTCGGCCGTAGATGACGCCACTGGAAAAATTATAGATGCCTTAATAGCCAACGACAACAATTATATTTTCTTACCCACCTGCACACATACATTTATAGATATAATCCGAAAGCTCTAATTAATAATTAATTGAAAACTGAGCAACTCAACAGTATCAGAAGAAACATTGTCTGTTGCGTATGTTTATATATATATATATATATGTGTGTAAATGCCTTGGTTACCATTAATAAAGTCAATCAAGACATTTAATGATTATGCTTATTCTTTAATAATAATATGAGTCACACAGACTCTTAAACAATTAAGATCGAACCACACAGGTTCCAATTTCACACAGAAACATATTTCAATTAACTAATATCACTTAGAGTCTTAACCACTAAAATATCAACTGACTCTCTTCATTTACATCAAGAAAGTTCTATGCCTTTCGTTCAGATGAGCGACGTCTGGCGGGATAACATAGAGGTTGTTGTCTCGCTTATTACATATATATATATATATATATCCACTTATGCTTGCAATGGATTCAGACTGAGCCCTGAACTCCCTCACTCAGTTAATAATTAATTAACAACTAAGCTGCCCAAGATTATAAGAGGCACTACAACAGTTGAATATTTATTTTTTTCCATCTACATTTATGGTTTTAATACAAATTCCCTAACGTGTTGGCAACCGAGCAATTCAACCGTATTAGAGGCACTATTGGTGTTCAGAGTTTATTTTTTCAACCACGTGTATACACTTACGGGTTCAGATTTACCTTCTCACCCAATTAATTATTAACTACTGAACTACCCAATATTTTGTTAAAACTTAAACACAAACATTCGGAATGCCTTGTATGGATGAAGCACCTTCTGTCTGAGCTGAATTAAAATTTTAATGAATAATTAAAGTTCTTATAACAAAATGCAAAGATGCCAACTGCTCCGGACAAGACAAAATAATTAAAAAAACGGTAAAGAACTACAAAGTAAATTTTGCAAATATTTGACTATTTTTGCTTGCTTTTTAAAAGGTATGGCTTGACTTAAGTATTGAAAAGTGGTGAATTATCTAAGCCTACAAATTATTTAGAAATAGTGGTGGATGAAAATCTACTGAATCAAATTTATTACATCAAGAATCACAGTTGACAAACTACCACTGTAAAATATATATTTGCTGTCCGGAGCAAGTTGGCATCTCTGCAAAATGCATACCCTCCAACTTATGAGGATTTTGAAAATAATTCTTTCTAATGGTAGCGAACCAAAGTAGAAATTTTTAAAGCAAATGGATCTCTCATAAAACTTTTATCAGAACTTAAGAATCTAGCCATATGGCCTGCACTTTTATAAGTAATAGTGGACAAGTTACGCTAAAATTAATTTTTTTTAAATATTAAGACATTAATTTTGCTACCGTCTGAAAAGAAGATTTCTGAAACTACGGAAATTCCGTAGCAGTTGGAGGGTATGCATTTACATACCTGCCAACATGTACAGCCGTTGAGAAATAATTTTCTTAATACAGNATAGATAGATAGATAGATAGATAGATAGATAGATAGATAGATAGATAGATAGATATAGATAGATATATATTCTTATGCTTGCAATGGATTCAGACTGAGCCCTTAACTCCCTCACTCAGTTAATAATTAATTAACAACTAAGCTGCCCAAGATTATAAGAGGCACTACAACAGTTGAATATTTATTTTTTTCCATCTACATTGATGGTTTTAATACAAATTCCCTAACATGTTGGCAACCGAGCAATTCAACCGTATTAGAGGCACTATTGGTTTTCAGAGTTCATTTTTTCAACCACGTGTATACACTTAAGGGTTCAGACTTACCTTTTCACCCAATTAATTATTAACTACTGAACTACCCAATATTTTGTTAAACTTAAACACAAACATTCGGAATGCCTTGCATGGACGAAGCACCTTCTATCTGAGCTGAATTGAAATTTTAATGAATAATTAAAGTACTTATAACAAAATGTAACATTCAAAATTCAATTTGATAAAACTATCAAAAATAATGATAGTAAGAAATAATTTATTTTCCTGAAATAAAAATAAGAAAAGCAATATCTAACATTTCTGCCAACGTAACGTTTGGCAATTTCATCGCTTAATATTTATTTATTTACGTACCTGCACATACGGGACAACATTTTCCAACAGGAATGCGTTTTTGACTTTCACACTCCATCTCAGGACAAACCTCTTTTTCACAGCCGATCCTTCTACGGCGACATTTACATGTCGTACACGGATCGGGATTCCATTCTTCGCCGTGCTTAAATAACTCTCCGTTACGGTTACAAGATCTATCATCATAACCTGTTTCATATGAAAAAAGAGAAGATTAAATTTGGATTCAAACTTATAACATTCATTTTAAAAACTATATGAATTCTGGGTGCGGAGTACCTAGCCAAGGTTGTACTTGCTCCTTAATCGAAATATTATTAGATTGCAGGGAGATGTTAAAAACACTTTACTATTCAAAAATATTAAAACATTTAAAAAAAGTGTGCCGATCAGAAAATATAAACCAATATCTTTTTAAAAAGCAGCATACTGTAAGTAACACAGAAATGCACTGCTAGGAACAATTCATCCCTAAATTAATCATTAATTTTGAATTTAAAGTTATGCACTTGTAAAAAAATGTTTGGGTGAGGCAGGAATGCCACAGGGAAGTATCCCTAGGGCCCAAACTATTTATATTATTTACGAATGTTTTTTCTGTGAACAGACAGAATTTTAACAGTATAACTGTATAATGCTGATGACACAGGGATTGTTGCGCGGTCCAAAAAAAAAACAGACCATTACCCGACAAAAACTCCTGGAAAGGCTGAATGAAATTGAGACTTAGTGCCTAGGCAGGAAGTTTAACCCCTTGGGGGACGGGTGATTCAGAAAAGCATTGGTACAAAATCAGAATCAGGATGTAATTAAATAAAAACGGTAACTTAAATGCAGTCGTTGCTAATTTGACAGACTTACTTTGCTTAATTATTGCTAGTTAGGCAGACTTATTAGACTATTGTTAGTGGACAGACTTACGCACCTTAATTATTGTTAGTTTAATCATATAATCAATGTTAGTTCAAAGTATAACTAAATGGTTTTATTTTGAACAAAGTAATGGTGAATTAAATAAATCAAATAATTACAATTAGAATTACTAAAGAATTACTTTGATTACCAGTTTTATCTTTTTATCCTGGTTGATAGGGTTTTATGCTGGCACGTATTTGTGACAGTCGGCGCGAAAGGGTTAAAGTTAATGGAGAAAAATCTCAACTTCTAATTACCCAACATAAAAGAAAAGTCTTTCTCCCAAAGAACAAAATTATTCTCTTTAAAGAAACTATTTCTATTGTCAAGAAGGCAAAATATCTTGGTCTGGTTATTAACAGCAAATTCAATTAGAAAGATCATATAAAATAAATTATCAATGAGCCACAAGCAGCCTGTCACATATTACAAATTCTTCTCCAAAACTCTAAAGTAGAATTGAGATTTAAACGCTTACTCTAAATTTCAATAAATCGTCCTTACGCATCCCCAACCTTTTCCCCATCACTCCTAGAGTAACTCAAAAGATACTCAATAAAATACTCCAAAAAATAACACAACAAGATGGTTTATCCAAAATAAGAACATGCATCGAGATCTCAATGTTGATTTTTTTAGACCATCCTATTACAAAGCTTAAATGCCAATTTTTAAAAAAGCAACAAATTGTAATACCGCAGGATTTAATGAAATTTTTACTTTTGAAAACCTGAAAGTAGGCAGAAACCGCACGCCAATGGCTGCATATTTTTGTAGCGACGCATCTTTATGTGGAATACAAAATATTTAATATTTTCACTCCAATTTGGTTTCCAGTTACCAGAAAGTACCAGTTTAAAGTCAAAACTCTATAATGGGATGGGAAAAGGGCCCAGGAGCCTAAATAAATTTTGTTGATGACAATGATGAAATGTTTATGAAGGTTACTGTCTTTGAGAAACTTCCTTCATTTCGAAGTTTTTAGAATCAGTTGCTATTTATTGATTGCTTAGTATACTTTCAAAATTTGAAAACTTTGCCCGCGAGGTTATTCAAGTTCAATCAAATTCCCTGTATGAGAGAGCATGAATCTAAATTTGTACTTTTCTTCTTATTTTTCAATATAAACAAATGAACATCAGTAAGAAATGTGTTTCTGCGTTGAAAATTTTACTACAGCCTTTTTTTTCCTCGCAGTTTTACTATCATTAAATTTGAGTTTCAACTTATACGTTTGCAATAAAATAATTTTTAAAAAAAATTTAAAACAGTAATTTTTCTGCAGTTCTGTAAGTAAAAATGCGACAAGTAGAGATAAAATAATCTGTAGGATTTGTAAAATTAAAAAATAAAATAATTTGTGTAACTTTTGAGAATCGAGTTGACATAGTGTCAATTCATTTTCCAGATATGCTAATTTTATATAAAGTTCATCTTAAAATGTGTCGAAATAATTATATTTAAACTTTTCATAGAAGATACCTACCTATACATGTAGCACAGCATTTTCCAATGGGAACGTATTTCTGAGTTTTGCATTTTATTTCGGGACAGTCTTCAACGTCACATACGATGGTCTTACGGCGGCATTTGCATACTCTGCATGGATGGGGATTCCATTCTTCGCCATGCTTATAATTTTCTCCATTATAATCACAAGATCTATCAACACGGCCTGATTCATAAAAAGAAAAATATCAAATTAAAAGTTCATGTACCATAAAATTTTTAATAGCAAGCAGAAGGAATTGAACTACTTCTATTTAAATATATAACAGCGCGTCTCTTGAGAACGAAAGGCGACTGCTACATTCTGCAGAAAAGTAAGCCACGGTCTGGAAATGTTTAAAAAATATTGACGGTTAATTTATGAGGTTATCATATATTTTATAGGCTTTAATTTCATGACAATTTCAGGAATTTAGCTGTAAGAGAGGAATTAAATTTACAAATATTTTATTTCATCGATCTTTTCTTACCAGTTTTTTCATTTTTCTGAAGAGTGACTACCTTCGTAGAGCAGAAATATGCTAAGTCTAATGTCTTGAAGAGAACTCTAGCAAAATATAATGCCTCGAAGAAGAAACTATGAAACCTAGTGCATAAATGTCAACTACTAGCAAAATTTTTTATATATTCGGTAAATTTTGCCTACCTTTTAACAGTAGATAAAAATCTACTAAATTGAATTTATTAAACCAAGAATTACAATTAATAAATACCACTTTGAAATATTTATTCGCTGTCTGGAGCAATTTGGTATCTCTGTGCAAATAAATAAAACTATTTTTGTGTTTTCTATATAGCATTAATTTCTTCAAACCATTTTAGTAATGATAATAACATAAAAATTTACTAGAATTACGTGTTTCTAATAATTCTACCGGTGACCCCCATGCCATTAAACGTGTTAAAGAAAGAAAGAAATCTAATGTCTTGAAAAGAGAGCCGAGAAATCTAATGTCATGAAACTGGAACGAAGAAATCTAATGTCTTGAAGAAAGAATGCAGAATTCCAATGACTTGAAGCGAGAACGAAGAAATATAGTATGTTAAAGAAACAACGAAGAAAAACAATGTTTTGAAGAGGCGACTGAGCTAATTTAATGCTTTGAAGGATAACGAGGAAATCTAATGTCTTGAAGACTGAATGCAGAATTCCAATGACTTGAAGCGAGAACGAAGAAATATAGTATGTTAAAGAAACAACGAAGAAAAACAATGTTTTGAAGAGGNTCACTGGGTGCGAGGCCCGCCCCAGTCGAAAGAGGAAAACGACCAAGGACACGCCTACTTCTACAGTCCACAGACTTGTTAGCCTCATCAGTGAACTTAAAGACTTGCTGAAGGACCAAGACGTGCTGCATCTTCTCACAACTTTAATCCAGGGGAATTCCCCATACAACTGATGTACTACTGAATCAACTCATGCCTCACCTCATCATGGATTTATTATCTGATCCTAACTTAGAACTTTGAATTGTATATGACCTCTAGACTAAATGCCAAAACAGTATAGATGAATCGGTTAGAAGCGCTTCGCGCTTAACACCGAGATTCCACTCATATCAATCAATCAAACCAAGATAAAATAGATATTGTTGAATAGTTTAAAAAAAGAATAAGTAAACTCCTCACTAAAACCAGCAATAACTGAATTGGTTTTACTACCAGTCTTTTCTCTTTTCCGTCTTGCTTTCACCCCTGCTTGAGAACGAAAGGTGACAGCTACATTCTGCAGAAAAGTAAGCCACGGTCTGGAAATGCTTAAAAAATATTGACGGTTAATTTATGAGGTTATCATATATTTTATAAGCTTTAATTTCAGGAATTCAGCTGTAAAAGAGGAATTAAATTTAAAAATATTTTATTTCATAGATCCTTTCTTACCAGTTTTTACATTTTTCTGAAGAGTGACTACCCTGGTAGAGCAGAAATACGCTAAATCTAAAGTCTTGAAGAGAACACTACTAAAAAAATATGATGCCTTGAAGAAGGAACGATGAAATCCAAAGTCTTGAAAAGAGAACGGAAAAATATCATGCAGCGATGCCAACTGCTCCGGATTAGACAAACTATTAAATAGAGCAGCGATGGCTCAGGTGATAGAGCGTTTGCCTTCCAATGACGTTAACCGGGTTCAAATCCCAGCGATTGGTGGTCGATACGAATTCCCCATCCAGCTTACACCGACCACAGTGCTGACGTGAAATATCCTCAGTGGTAGACGGATCATGGGTTAAAGCCCCCTTTCCGTCAGGCTAACCATGGGAGGTTTTCGTGTTCTTCCTCTCCATGTAATTCAAATACAAGTTAGTTCCATCAAATAGTCCTCCACGAAGGCAGATTTCTCCCTATATTTGATCCAGGAGCTCCCTTGTCTTCTGGGTTGGGTTCAAAATTACAAGGCTACGTAGTTGAACATTAGTAGTCGTAAACCCGAAAATTGGGTCTAGTATCTTAAAGAAGGAAAGGAAAAAAAAACAATGTTTTGAAGAGAAAGCTGAAGAAAAAAATATAATGTTTTGAAAAATGAACGAGGAATTCTAATGTCTTGAAGACAGAATGTAGAAATTTAATGTATGAAATAGGGACGAAAAATCTACTATCTTAAGGAACGAACGGAAAAATCCAGCATCTTAAAGAAGGAAGAGATCTAATGTCTCGAAAATTTAAAAGTGAACTCGCTTCATTAATATGCTATTGCGTCGTTTAGTTTACTAAATACAATCTGATCTAGCTGAGAGATAAAATGTAATTCTCCATGTTGCTTTTCTAATTTCAACAGAGCTCCGGAATGGAAAACCTCTACTCTAGAAGACGATTCTCCAGATTTTGAAGAGGAATTTACCTTCTTTAAATGTAGGAAAATATTAAACAAAAATACTGAAAAATTCCAACGTCGAATTAGTTACAATCAAGAGATTTCAAGAACTCGTTACAGGGGGCCCAATGAAAAATTCAAAATTGTTGCCTTACTTTTCTCAAAATTGATGACAATTTTTGAAAGATCTGTTAAAACTCTGTTTCAATACAGTTGTAAAATATTTAATCCTAAGAGTGTAAATTTTTAAGGAATGTTAATGGGAAACACATTTTTTTGTTCCTTCAAAATAAATTAAAAAAATTTAATGAAATAATTATGATACCCAAATTCGTCATTGCTATCATCATTTATACTGTACTTCTTTTTTATCACAGATCGTTATTCACTTTTGAAATCTCCTAGGTTGTGTGGTTGGTCCACTATCAACCACTTGAAAATATTTTCTCCGCAAATCGCAAGTGTAGGAGAAAATATTTAAGCGAGCTTACTTCTTTTGCTTTTCCAGGTTAAAAATTAATCATGGAAAATACATGCTACCAGTTCTTATCGTATTGATAAAACTTTTGGGTACAATATTCTTGGGACAATATTCTCAGATAGTGCTGAAAAGCGTTACTTTTTTGAAAAACAAAAATATATCTATGCAAGCTATAAGTTAGCTCTGAGTATTGTGCTCATGGAGGTAAGAATGAGAAAAGTCGGTAAGCGTCTCGCAGGAGAGCATTCCTCATTGAGACCACCATATTGATTTGTCGCAAATCTAGCGCCAAAGGCATCTTCAGCTATTATACTTGAAAGACTTATTTTTACTCGTAATCTTACCACTTTAATGAACATGAATTGTGATAAAATAAATTACAATTAATAATTTCAATCTTAGTTTGATAATATGATATCACGGTTGATAACTATTTAATATAGTTAATTAGAGATTAAATAGACTAAATTATTATTAAATAAATCTTATAGCTGAACAACTAGTTCATCAATTTTTAACAAAAAATTTTATTTTCATGAGGCAGTGGATTTATAATTTCATATTTTTTTTAGTTTTACACTAAAGGCAATACAAGAAAAGTAATTTGTGATATTGTTTTAATAAATTTTCTCAGTTTTTAAAATATGTAATTAAGTTTTAGGACTTCTCAATTGTTTTTTTATAATCATAATGGCATAATGTTTTGACAGATAATTGTTTTGTGAAGTTCTTGGATTTATATATTTTTTTAATGTTTTTTATTGTATATTTTGTGAAGATAATTGGTTTCGTTAAGTTTAACTCATTATTAAAATCAATGCAATTTAAATTGATGTTTAAATTTAAATCGCACTGTGTTTAAAATATAGAGTTTCAAAATTCATATCCAAAAATATAAAGTTGATAAATTAGTAGTTATGTTTTAAGGAAACTCTAAAAAAATCACTCTATCGCGAAGGTGAGCTGTTTTTATCATTCCAACTAAAAGAGATTATTTTATACCCTAATATATAATATAATGAACTATATTTATGGCATTAAAACGGGAAAAAATATGATCCTGAAACTCTGAAATTAAATTTCAGCATAACTTCTTAATTATTAAATCGTTCTCTTTATAGAATTTTGCTTAACCCTTTAATGGGCCACTTATTTCTAGTAAAGGCAAATTAAAGTATTTTTGGAATTGAAATTGTTTTAAGAATAGTAATTGATATTAGAAAAAAAACTCATTTTAGTTCATAAAATTGCCATTTTTTTGGTGGTAAATATATTTAACACGACCTATTAGGAACTTATTGGCGTTTATTTTTCTTTATTTATAAAATAAATTTTAAAAATGCTACAAACTTCAAAAGGAATTATATATTTTATAACTTTTATACGTCTTTTAATACGTTTTTAATAACTTTTTTACAAAGGGTTACCAATTTTATTCAAACGCACTTCAACAAATCTGAAGTTATTAACAAATGGAAACCTAAAAGTGGTAAAAAAGTGGTGGTAAGTATACTTCCCACGGTCTTCGAAAGGGTTAAAAACTCACTCAGTAGTTTGTTTTTTTATGTTCTAAATGCAGTTTAACTCCCTAACAATGGCATATGCATTTAACCAGAAATTTATCAAATGAAAGTTATGAAAAATAAATGCAGAAAGCCACTGAAAAATGTTTTCCACTAAAAACACGAAGAAAAAAAAAGATTATGAAAAGACAACGGAGATTATCTAACAATGTGAAATATTTTCGACTAAAAATTTATAAAAAGGAAACGAAGAATATCAAACATTTTGAATTATTTTCAACCAAACCTTATAAAAAAAGGTTATGAAAATAAAATAAAAAATATCACCAACTGTAAAATATTTTCCACTCGAAAGGTAAAAAAAGAAAGTTACGAAAAGTAAACAAGGGATATTAATCGCATTCTACATTACTAATTATAAAAAAGAGGGTCATGAGTAGTAAACGAAGCATTTCATTCATAATCTTAGTTTAATTAAATTTTTCATTCTTCATTAATATTTCATGCATGTTAATGTTCATGCATGTAATGCAAGTTTAATGTTCTTCATCACGAAAATAAACGTAAAAAAATATGAAGAGTAAATAAAGAATATCAACAAATAATCAGAATCAAAGAATATCAGCAAATGTCTTAAAGTAGGTAAATAAGAAAAATTCCTCACTTTCATTAAAATTCTGTGAACAGATTACATGAGTGGCAACAAATAGGGTGAACACAGCTATCGAAGATAAACTCATGTTTAGAAAAAACACCCCAGCACTTGTATCTTCATAAACGATACACACATTCCAAAACTTTCAAATGAAGATGGAAGACGACAGTTTTCTGACTGAAGATGAAAGACAACCCAGAACTCTTTTCTTCATAAATAAAGAACGAACATTTAATCTAGTGTACGGGGCATCCATTTCTCGTCCACGCTTCGGACACTTAAATGAGACAGCAGCTTCTGTAAACACAGCCGGGCCCAAGGCCACAAGATAATTAATCAGTCAATAAAAATGCAAACCAACAATTCATTAGCTCGTAAAGATAAATGTTACGAAAAAAACGTCTTCATGTTACTTATAAATTATAACACAAAATAAATTTATGAAATTGTTTTTTTACTATTTTAAGCATGAAAAGTACAAAGCAGAATTTTAATTTTTAAAAATTTAAAGGATTTTTTTTTAGTGTTTTTACCCTAAAACTGTTATCAAGTACTCATTTTACAGGAGAATGTCCTGCAGTGAACTGATCGTAAGGACATAATTCCCAGTCGAACACCGAAGTCAAGTATCACTGGTTGCGGTTAAGCAGGTGGGTAACCACTTTGATCAGCCTGCGTACGGATTGAGGGTGTGCGGTATAGCTCTTCATTATACTGTTCAACCGTAAAATGCTAAACATCGCACGTTTCGGTCTACTAAAGCGGGGAAGCTACCCCCTCTGCAAAGGATCAAAATTGTGGCAGCATGTCTTCGGATTATCCCCAGGAATGTTTCCCAGAACGACGCCAATGGCCCATTATGCAGCTCCAGTGCGACGTAAATAAACTACCTAAATACCTCTCTGGAGAACAATTTATGTTTTTGTTTTCTGTCGCAGGATTTTTTTTTTCTGAACAGATGTTAAATATTTTCGGGGAGCAGATTTCAAATCTGTAATAGGCCTCACACAATCTTCAGATTTTATGCAATTTAATAATATATTCTTTAACAATTAATTTTATTTTATTTTCATTCAAGCAAATACTAAGTAAACTTCTCTTGTACGTAAGGTGTGGAAGGAGAAGGCGATAATACATTCTAGTTTATGATGTAAAACGTTGAGATCATATGTTTTTTTTTTTTTAAATGTGTGTGTTATTTTTATTGTAGCATAAACGTTTATATATTTGTATCTAAAATCATATGTTTTTAATAAACTTTAACAATCACAGCTTTTAAATATTTAAATGGTTTGCTTTTTAATGGTTGTGCTTCGAGTCTCTAGTTAGTCTCTCTTAGAAATTCTTCGAGCATATTTCAAATTTTACCTTGCTTTAGGATTTATAAATACATCTTAATCTAATAACTACAATAATAACTACATCTTTCATGTTTTTATTTAATTACATATTTTTATTAAATGCTTGTCGACAAAAAAATAGGATATTTTGAAGTAGAATTAAGGAAGTTAATTGCTTAAGAAAAATTGTATGCTAAAAAGTCTATTAGCGAGTGATGATATCCTAATAAAAATAACTTCAGTGATAGTTTACTTTTTATCTCCATAGCCCCAGTGGCATTATTTTATGTTTTCATTTATTAAATTGCTCATACAATTAAATGATTAACAGCATGTCATATCAAACAATATACTATAACTAGTGGGCTGCGCCCCCTGCTCGCTAACGCTCGCCAACCCCCGAAAATTGCTACGCAGTCTTATATGGTTTGCTTCGCAAACTAACCTCGCTACTAACTTAGGTACATTGCGAATGCACAAAACTCTAAGAATTCAAAACAATCATTCAAATCCATATAAAAACTTTTTTTTTTTTTTTAATTACATCTTTTTAGCAAATACTAAGTCATTAAAATAAATTTGAATTCAAATAAAGACTCATTGACTGAGACTCATTTTTCAATGAATAACTAATAACAATAATAAAACAAATAAATTCGTGATATAAATCAAAAATCGTCAAATAAATTCGTAATATATAAATTCGTGAAAAAAAGCGCTTTCGACAAAATACTAAAAATAGAGATCTATCGACAAAGACTACTCACTTCTGCCTAGCTTAATAGTATGAGATTGCCGCAGCTGAATTGTTATTTCAGTTTCCGTTTTAAAAAGCGCTATATGTTGAGCCATCTCACCTAGATTTGGCATGTGACATTTTTAGCGGCAATCATTGGTCGATTTTCTAGCGTTGTCATTCGGGGAGTTGTAATGAGGCTTTTTTTGTCGCCGTGTAAGAGTAATATATATATATATATATATTCCACAAGTTAATAGTCAATGCTGTATTTTATTACTTACGTTTACTTATCATCGCAGTTTTAAATTTGCAATTAGAGATGCATGGGTCATTTATGGGTGCTTTGCTAGAGTGTCATTTGCAGCTCTACCTGTAATTCGCATGCTCAAAAATTTCGTTTTCCTTCGTAATTTTTAATTATTAAATAATTGCAAATATTTGTTGCATATCATATTGAATTCTGACAAACTAAATGCTATATAATAATATAAATAAAATTTTAAAATTTATTAAATGTATTGACTTAATATTTATCGATTTTTAAAATTTCTACTGTAAAATTCAAATTGTTTTTACAAAATCAAATGAAAAATTGTAGATTAATTTTGAATAATTTGTTTGATTTTTCCTGTTTGCAATCCTGAGAAAAAAAATTTTTTTTAGTACACTTGGCCCTATTTCGATGTTTTTTTTTCTTTGTATAACTATAACGTTAAATATCAGCATACTTTGTTTTTTTTTTGGATTTTTGAGTACACCTTTTGAATCTGCCGGCTAGATGTTAATTCTCAAATCACAGTAATGTGCCCTTTTAAAGTAAATAAGAATTTTAAGGAAACATTCCATTCTTAATTTTAAATCGTTTCGAAATAAAGTTTTAAAGAAAATAGAATTCCACTAACTTTGTTTACTTTCCGTTGTTGATATTTAGGTTTAGATACTTTTCACGAGTTTCTGAAATACTTTAGTATTCAATAAAATTGTTTACTTATTTTCAATGTTTGTTTCTAAATATGTTTAGGCTCTACATTTTATGTTAATTAATGTCTAATCGCCACTATTTATTAAACTAAAATTGAAAAATTCGACAACGATAGGATTACTTCATTTTGTAATGGCAACTCTTCACTAAACAAGATGGCATCCTATGCAAACAAATATTCCATATTTTTGTAAATCATTTGATACGATGGAGACACGCTAATAATCTATTAGTGACATTTCCTTATCAAACCTTTACTGAATAAGTTTCTGATTGTGACTTTTATTAGGTTCCCTTCTGTCATATGTCTATCTAAAACAGCTAAAAACAAGAAATTCTATGTATAATTTGACATACGATGTGTGTTAATAACCGAGTTGATGGCCAAATTATATTTATTCCAATTTCAGATTGCTTACATTTTTCCAGTTGATGTTTTTTTCTTCTAATTTTGAAGAAAACAACTCAAAAGAATTTTTTTTAAATATTACAACTCATAAAATGGCGTTTATGTTGTTAACAAAGGATACAAATAATAAAAAATGCAGGGTACTGCTGTAAGGATCTCAAATTATTAGCCTGTAAATTAGATAAATAAAAAAAAGTATTCGCCAATTTTCGCCAAATAGAAATCGGAAAATTTTTTTATGTATATTTTTCCTTCGAGTGGAAAAAGTCATTCCCCAATACTTTCACCAAAACACAATTTTATTCGCCCAACTTACGATTTTATCGCATTTGGCCCGGTGGCGAATGCTTAGCGAGGGTCATGAAAAAAATTAAACAATTTGCTCAAAAATAATGAATTAAATGCAGTTCTATTGTAGAAAATTCATCATCACTAGAAATTTTTAAGGAATAAAAATAAAACCTAATCTCAATAACACAGCAGACCAGATATGAATAACGGTAAAAGTTTACTTTTTTTTAAAAAAATACCTATTCTTTTAAAAAATCATTTACTTTAAGCGCTTATATTTTAACATGTTAAAAAAGAGGAGTTCCTTTACTTAGCTTAGTTATACAGAAAAATAGAATAAAATGAGAATAAACATAAAAATAACATACAGCTGTTTCAAGGCTGAAAACGAACTTATAATTTATATCAAGAGTTAACTATACACGAATAATATTGATTCTGTTTCATATTGAGAATGATGCATGATTATATCACCGCAGCAGCTGTATGGGTCAAAGTTACATTTGAGTATAAAATTCCTCACTAGAGCGAGGTACCTACATGGGTTGACCAAAAATATAAGAGCACTTCAACTCTATCTAAACAATATTTCTAATGGCAGCAAATGTTTTGGAAAATTTTACATGACAAATCAACTGCCACTATTTTAAAGATCACGTTTGAAGCTTTTAGAAGTGGTGTCCTTATTACCGATGGAAGAATTTGTATCTACCTATATGAGCACAGGAAGTTAAGTTTACCTATATGAGCACAGGAAGTTAAACTCCTCTTTAATATTTCTATGAAACTATAATTTAAAAATGTCTAATATTAATGCCGTGCAATGTAATATAGAGTTCCATTAATTTTTCTCAAATAAACTCTCACGTCAATTCATCGACACCAACGTATGCGAGCAGCCCAAATGGGTCGCAGTAGTGGAGATGATGAATTGGTAACTTTAATGTGATGACCAACCAAGAAACGAGTGTGGTATTAACAGGACGCCTAGGTCATCACAATAACAGCATCACAGACACGGTAGTTGCTGGACTATCTAAGGCTTATATAACCTTTCCTATGTCGTGAACAGATCTTTGTCCATAAATTTTTGTCGTGTAAATACGTAAATAGGTGCATATGTTTTCTTCGTTATTTTCTATTTTACGACGCCTGGATAAATCATAATATTATTCTGATCTCTGAAAATATTATAATATTCTTATCTAGTTTAATCACAATTATGTTCAATTTCCAACTGATTTCATAATGTTCTCAAACGTCTGATTTTTCACTCTTGGCTTTATTATTTGGTGCCGTGCACCCTCTCTTCCCCCCAATTCTACTCCACATTCTCCCATTACATGACTCAAAAATACGACAAATCAGTCAATGCGACTTCACGACAGCTCATTGAGATTTGAGCTATGCTCTGATGTTCTAATATAAAGTTATAATTTTCTTGTCTTTATTTCACAAAACATAATAATTACCCTGCTTAATTTGTCAAATCAATATAAAAAGGCCACTTCAAGGCCTTGAAAAACAATAAGACTA